ATATTGTCAGACTGAGTCAAGAAGTATCTACTAATGCTCATCGCAGTGTCGCAGAAAGAGAATGAGAGTGTTCTGGCAATATTTATGGGGTATAAGTGGAGAAATATAATGAAGTGGCGTGCTAGCACTCCAAAACACGGCCGCACCTCAAGCCGCCATATTGAAAACTGTCAAATCTGTCAGTTTTAAAGACTGATGCAAAGACACAACAGAAAAGTATATAAGGCACCATGCATGCACAATTTGCAAACAGAAAAAACTATAGCATTAACAGACAAATTTTTACAAAATTTAAAAAAAAAGACTGAATTACAAAAAGTAATGCAGTTTTTATGTAAAATCTTAAATCTTAATCATTTAAAAAAAACTATATGTAGGATGTAATTTTAAAAATGTAATAAATACACGTATATTACATATAACTCATCATTTTAGCACTTTCGGCACATCTGTATTATTATGCTCCATTAGCACATTAATTTTATTCTGATGGATTTGTGAAATATGTTCATTGACTTCATAATGACCATGCAACATGATGTGCCTATGTACAAAGTCATAATTATGAGATATAAAGTGAATATCACATTGTATCTCATAATTATTAATTTCTATTTGGCATTTTTTTTAGTTACATATGGTGGAAACGGGCTTCCATACATTCAACCTGTAGGTCTTTACATATCATTAAATATCTCAAGCACAGGTAAGTTCAGAGGTTATGGTTAAACAAATAGAATCAGATACTGGAACTTCATCTGTTCGAGCTAATAGAGCTCACATCTTTTATTGTATCATTAAGATCAACCTAGTTTAGCATCGGGAGACAGTGCGTCGATGCTGATTTTAGTAAAGTGGCAATCCTAGAGATGGTATCAATAATTTTCACTCTACTGGTTAAGAGAAAATTACAGTTTTTCCTTCTGCTTCTTTTTCCTACCTGACATCAACATTGGGCTTTTTATTTTCATAATTTTGTGAGTCATTCTAAAAAGAAATTCTATAGCTAAAGCAAATATTATGATATTTAATCAGAAGTAAAGGAAGTTTTTTTCTAGATTTTAGTTTGTTTTTTAGCAGCAGTACCACTCATCTGACACTAGATGTCATTAGTTTATTGTTTTCAAGGCAGTCACAACATTGACCAATGAATCGCATCTGGTAAACTCATGCAATAATTAAATTTTTCTACACATTAAAAGATCGCTGCATCGTCCTCCAATGAGCCTTTAGCCATGTCAAGGACATTTTTAGTGGACTTTAAAGACAGCCCTGAGAGAGAGCCTTTGTATTATTTATAAATCATTAATGTTTCATTGAATTTTGAAAAAGAAAAGAAAACAAACTGATTATACACTAAACTATTTGTACAAAAAACCTAATTCTTACTTCTCTAAAATTCAGTTTCTGCTGGGGGAAAAAAATTAGGACCTTTATTATTAGTCTCGACTACAAATGTGATTTGACCAGGTAAAATCCTATCTTAGTTACTTACAAATGGAACAACAGAGAGGAGAGTCATCTGATAAATGCTCTTTATACACTACTCAAAAAAATTAAAGGAACACTTTGTAATCAGAGTATAGCATCAAGTTAATTAAACTTCTGTCATATTGATTTGATCAGGTAAGTAACGGAGGGGGTTGTTAATCAGTTTCAGCAGCTTTGGTGTTAATGAAATTAACAGGTGCACTAGAGGGGCAACAACGAGACGACCGTCAAAACAGGAATTGTTTTACAGGTGGAGGCCACTGACATTTTTCTCCTCCTCATCTTTTCTTACTCTTTTTCACCAGGTTTGCATTTGGCCAGGGTCACTGTCACTACTGTTAGCATGAGGCGCTACCTGGACCCTACAGAGGTTGCACAGGCAGTCCAACTCCTCCAGGATGGCACATCAATACGTGACCATGGAGGAGATTCCAGGAGACAGGCAGTTACTCCAGGAGAGCTGGACAGGGCCATAGAAGGTCTACAACCCATCAGCCGGACCTGTATCTGCTCCTTTGTGTAAGGAGGACCAGGAGGAGCCTCACCAGAGCCCTACAAAATGACCTCCAGCAGGCCACTGGTGTGAATGTCTTTGACCAAACAATAAGAGACAGACTTCACGAGGGTGGTCTGAGGGCCCGACGTCCTCTAGTGAGCCCTGTGCTCACTGCCTGGCACCGTGGAGCTCGATTGGCATTTGCCTCGGAACACCGGAATTGGCAAGTCCGCCACTAACACCCTGTGCTTTTCACAGATGAGAGCAGGTTCACCCTGAGCACATGTGACAGATGTGAAAGGGTCTGGAGAAGCCTTGGAGAACGTTATACTGCCTGTAGCATCATTTAGCATGACTGGTTTGGTTGTCGGTCAGCGATGGTCTGGGGAGGCATATCAATGGAGGGACTCACAGACCTATACAGGCTAGAAAACGGCACCCTGACTGCCATTAGGTATCGGGATGAAATCTTTGCACCCATTGTCACACCCTATGCTGGTGCAGTGGGTCCTGGGTTCCTCCTCGTGAACGACAATGCCGGCCTCATGTGGTGAGAGTATGCAGGCAGTTCCTGGAGGATGAAGGAGTTGATACCATTAATTGGCCCCCACGCTCGCCTGACCTAAATCCAATAGAGCACCTCTGGGACATTATGTGTTGATCCATCCGACGCCACCAGGTTGCATCTCAGACTGTCCAGGAGCTCAGTGATGCCCTGGTCCAGATCTGGGAGGAGATACCCCAGGACGCCATCCGTCATCTCATTAGGAGCATGCCCCAATGTTGTCAGGCATGCATGCACACATTTGGGGGGCCATACAAATTACTGAATACCATTTTGAGTTGCTGCATTGAAATTTCAGCAAAATGGACTAGGCTGCCTCATCCTTTTGTCACTGTAATTTTTGGGGTGTCTTTGAATTCAGCCCTCTGTGGGTTGATAATTTTAATTTCCATGAAATGATGGTGGCATCCTTTGGTTCATAACACATCACCCAGTCCATATCAGTATAAATAAACAGCATGATTTTTTCCCCCATTGAGACCTGATGTGGTTTCAAAGTGTTCCTTTAAATTTTTTTAACAGTGTGTAAACCTATTCATTTAGTCAAGCAACAGTCTTCTCCTTATCCACCTCTCTCTCCTTTGCATCTGTAGCACTGTTTCTTTGTCTCTGAAACATATTCTCTAATGTTTTTTCATTTTTTTAAATTTCTGCATTAAAATCTACAGTTCCAGTGGTGTTGAATAGTAACTTCCTGTTCCCTGTTGTCATGGTGACTTGTTGAATCAGGGCTCCAATGATAATGGCTTTTCATGCTTGTTATGCACGGGCTCAACACAGTTGATTAAACTAATCCACAGGAGCTTTTTGAAACCTAATACTATGAGTTTCCAATCTTCAGCTAGATTAATTCAGGGTTGAGGATTTTAGTCTGAGTTGGTTTAAGCTGCTTTGTGAAATGGGCTTCTAGCTGCAAGATGAGAAAGGATGAGAAATTAAAACCATCTCTTCCAAATAATCATTATTGGCAATGGGAGAATTCTAACAAAAAAAGTAGAAAGCTTCAAGACTTTGCAAGAAAGTTGACAAAAATATTAAGACCATAGCATTACTTGTTTTACTGAAACATGGCTGGAGGGTCAACTATTTGACTGCAGTTTCTCTCTCCTTCTGCCCACATCACACAAATGAAAGATATAAAGACCACCACAAAAGTGGTATGGGGTTTCTGTCTCACAATGGTCTGTGTGCAGTCAGAGTTCTGCTTGATTCTATCTTTGTAAATCTGCTTGATCAAATGCAACTGGGCGAAGTGTTACCTTCATTGTCAGACTTTTCCCTGATTAGCCTACTGATGAAATTAGACTGAACAGGAGAAGATGGACATTGACCACAAGGACATAAGTTAGTCACAAGCAACAGGATCCTGGAGATTATCTCCCTTTGAGAAAAGACAGAGGAGAAGAGTCACTAAGATATTAGCCCCTACCACCACTCTGTTGGTGTGCACCAGAATGTAGGGGTGACCTTGTTTGATAACAGATAAGGGCTATCGAACTAGATGCATCCCAGGAGCCTTAACAACCAACTTACCACATCATAAAAGTAAACCAAGTACTTCTTTGAAACAATGTTCACCACCTGTCAAAATTATTTCTTAATTGTACCTCTCTCACCTTTTATTCCCTTTACAAGGAGGGCAAAAAAAAACTTAAACATAACAACTCTTTCTGATAAATGGGTTGCTGCAGTAAGTCAACATGCCCACACTTAGACTCAACCCAGTGGCGGGCGATGACAGTATTGCAGGCCTGTTTAGAAAAATCTGTCCCTCACACAACAACATTACTGAATTCCCAAAACATTGAATGTATTGAAAATCACTAAGGGAAACCATTGAGAGCATGGAAATAACTAAGTCAGGTTTAACCAACCGAATCTCCTCATCTTCCCCTCCATGTGTCTCTTCCATTAAACTTGGCTTCTCCTCTAATTTCTCCACCAATGTTGTCTCACCCACTCTTTCAGTGTAGAGTCCTCACTGAGTTTAACTCTTGCCTCTTGTCCACAAGTGCCTCGAGGACCAACTATAGACGCCCTGCTCTTGGAAGCATTGCAACTTTTTGTGTTGCATGGTGCTAACCTATTCACAGGATTTACCTGGTCTTGTCAAATGTCAATTATCTGGGTGTCTATTGCCCCAAACCACCCGCCTTTTACTCCAACGCTGCTTGGCAGATCACTTTAAACAAGAGCTCTCAAAGAAACATGGAGAAAAGACTCTCTAGCTATCCATCCATCTTCCATCACGCTTATCCCAAGCAGGGTCTCGAGGGGTGCTGGTGCCTATCTCCAGGCTTCTACAGGCGAGAGGCCGGGTAGACCCTGAACAGGTCGCCAGGCAACACAGAGACAAACAGGACAAACCACCATTCACACACAAACTCAACTCAGAAGTAATGTTTTTTTGGACTGTAATGAGGAAGCCAGAGTACCTGGAGAGAACCCATGCATTTAAAATTCCCTCCAAATGTGTATTAATCATCTGTGACATTATCTAACAATCATTATTGAATGTAATACAGTATGATAGATGCTAAAAGTCTCTCTTAGGGTCATCTGAACTATGACACAAATGACTATGCAAAAGTTGTAAGGCGAAAGCAAAACCAGAGCAAGCAATCGGGGAGCGATCTGTTAGAATAAGAAAGAAAGTCTGCAGACAATCAGAATGAAGTTTCATCAGACAACTGATTTCCTGTTCTCATAGACTGAAAGCAGCTTTTATTTGTTAATCTGATCTCTTTTGACCACAGACATTTTTTTATGTCTTGTGGGTTTTTGTCGAACAAAACCACAGTTCTTCAGCATTTTGAATGATAAAATAAAGGTAGTATCTGACAATTAAAGGCTGGTGGTATATCTCCATGTCTCACTGTTTTTGAGATATACTGAAAAAAGAACAAATATGAGAAGAATGTTTAATCAATTAGTCTACAGTTCAGCAAAGCCTAGCTGTATGCTTCCAGCTTCCTTTTAAATTTTCAAATGAGAATTGGATTTTTTTCACTGTTGGGCAGTGAGTTCTTTTAAAGTAAGAATGCTATTGAGGCTGGTGGATTAACAGGAAGAAAAGTCTTAAAGAAAACAATAGTCTAAAGTCGTAGGGAAACGGCCTTTCCAACTGTTGCAGTTCCGAATTCTCCCGAGTGGTGCAGGCCTTTACACGAATGAATAAAGTGAAT